GTAAAGTTAATTTTAATCTTAGCTGACATTTTCAGACAGCATACTAACCTAAACATTTCTCAGATTGTGTCTCCATGTGATATCATTAATTTTCCCAAGCATTGCAGACTAATAAATGGATTCGTTTATCCTGTGTAAACAATGCTGGCGAAACGTTCAGATCAGTATGTAGGTCACAGACTGATTTCATTATAAATCAATGAGCGCTAGACAAAGTCTACATGGCATTTTCAATGTAGAAAACACACAATTTGCTATGCTGTAATGGCAGCAAGCACAACTATCTCAGTTTCACCTGCTATTTCAACTTGGATTAGTTTGGGGGTCAGTTCTGGCTTCCAGTAACTTTTTACATTATAAAACCCTTATCTGTAGACTGAGAGAACCTTCCAAAGCAATCCGCTGTATTGTACGTGTGAAAGGGTGTAAATAAAATATGCTATAAAAGTATATTTTTTTGTGAAAGCGGTGAATCAACAACGCAATGAGGTGCAAGGTAAGAGCTAAAAAGTGTTGAGGATCCGAGCTGCGACAGAAGGCGTGAAAATGCTGCCTCTCAGCAAATGTTATAACTGCACTTTGCGGACGACGTGCAGAGCCTACGACAGGACGTTTTGTCAAGCTTAAAAATTTGACGGTGCTGTCAAACAGTATATATATCATTGACTACGAGTTTGACGAATGCTTTCGAAACCCATTTCAAACTCCGCCCAGAGAGTTCTCCCTTTCTCAGTCCTCCGAGGAAGTCACAAGGAAGAAGCTGACAGAATTTTTTCCTGGACAAGAAACTGAGAGTGCATCTTTACTCTAAGGGTGTGGAACATCTCCAAAGGAAAGTGTAAGACAGTGCACTGGAAACCTAGCAATGGTTTCCTGATCAACCAAACACCTTTGGAAGCTTATTTGTGAAACGGCCTGTCAAACTTGAATTTAGTAAATTATATCCCTCCAACGTGTAGTACTTTAGCGTAATGAAAGTTACTGCTTTAGAATGCATAGATATACGCTTGTAAGTGATCATTTTATGTTCATCATCGTCAACAATATCCATAACCTTGGAGCGTAACAATATTCTTGAACAACATTGCCGGTTACAGAAACTGTGGCTCAGAATGTAGTTTTTTAGGGTTAGAAGGCAATGATGTGATGGCAACAAACAAAAAACCACACAAAACTACCATCTGTTTTAAGCTTGACACCAAAACAGCCATAATCACATCCAGGGCTATTTCATGCATTAATTGCAGTTTCATTTTGTTGTATCTCCTGAATTTGCTGATATCGCTGAACTCCAACCCTGAACAGAAATAGCCTAGACAAAAAGGAAATGTCAGGATTTTCCCACATAAAGAGCCAAAAGAAGACTCTTTTTACTTGTGAAAACACAGATCTTAGAGTCACTATAGACATTTATTTATAAATATCAATCTAATATTCCAAAAAAAAAAAATTGTTGCAAAATCCTGGTAACATTGTTGACAAGATACTTGCTCAAAATTACAACTATTCAAATTCTGAGCTCTTTAGCAAACCACCTAATGGGAGATTCGAAGGAAGGCATCTGCTCCATGCTGATTTTAATCATTCTCAGCCACCTCTCTGAGATGGCGCATTATTTCCCCTTAAAACACGAATAACACACACAACAGAACTGTCAGTTTGCAAATACTGCAAGAACGGAAAAGAATTAAAGCTTGAAAATGGCTCAAGAGTCAATCGACACAAATGGCCAAGAACAGGATGAAACTGAGGGTTTCAAGCATAATTGTTTTTGTATCATCATCACATACAATTTGTTTCAATTAAGTATAAAAATGAGGCTTTTAGCCAATGGGCAGTTATCAGAACACATGTGAACTAAGCCATGATGGTAATCAAATACACCCTAACAGCTGGAATCCCACAATTTGTAAGAATCAAAAACAAATTATAATACTGACTTATGTAAGGCAAAGAATCCCCCCAGAATGAGGCCAATTAATTTTTACAACACAAGTAATAAGATTAAATATGCTTTATCTCCAAGGCTTAAATGTGTCCCAGATCTGGTCTCAGGCCACTGCACTAATTGACACTGTTAATTCTAGAAAGAAAGATTTAATGTGTAATAGTCGACATGCCTGTCCTCTTGTGTGACAATAGCTGGGGTCATCATTGTGGGACCTTTTCAGCTGGTGTGATGCCATGATGTGTGATACAGGAGATCCCTCCAAGCATCAGATTTGTATTATAGTACGTTTGAGCAGAGCTTTGTACTTATGTGCCACTGAAGAATTCAGGCAAAAGGAGAATCTAAATGGCTGCACCAATAGCAGCATCTGCTGCTTTGAAGCAACCCAGGCGTTTATAAGAAATTGAATAAAAATCTGGTGGATTTGCTGTCTTCTGACACGTAACTGAAAGAAACCATTTGCAGAAATTATTTACATTAATTACAGTGCAATGAAATATGACTATAATATACTTATTCATATACTGTAATTTATATGCTGTGTGGTGGCTTGATTATCAATGTCAGGCACAGAACTGAGGACAGAAAAAAGTGTCTGATAATTGGTTCCACCTCCCAGTGTCACAACCACCTAACCTAACAAATGCTTACTTACAAACAGATGTGGGATTAATTTGGCACAAACTGAACCAACTGTTTCACAGCAATAGAAATGGAGGTAGCAGAGAATGGATGACTTTTTTTTGCTCACTGAAGAAATGGACGGGTATTAATGGCATTAGAACAGAGACAGCACAGCTAAATATGCATTGCTCATCAACAGGTGTCTTGCATGGATAAATTACATGCATAGAAAGAGAACAGAAAATGCATAGTGAAAATGAACATAAAGAGCATCCTGAAAATATCACCCGAACACCATCCATTTATGAAAACTAAATCTGGCCTATTTGATGTGGAGGTACAGTAAACGCGTCAAAGAAACTAACACAATTATCAAATTAGAGGAAATTCTCCTTTAATTGGAGCAGTCAGGGATCTTCACATGGAAAGTTTAAAGGTAATTCACACTGTTTGCTGCATGCTAAATATGATCTAATGATTCCCAAAACAGGCTTGTTAGCACTCAAAAGCAAAACTTGAGGTAGAAAGAGGGTACTGCATTTATTAGGTCAACTCCCTTACGATGATGAGACTGAAAAAAATGTTCTTCATTGTGCCATCCACCTACAGCATGGCTACATCTGGATTCTGGCCAGAATAGCAAGACATCACCAATCTTCCTTTGTCTTCGCTTAATACCTTCATTTGGCTGCCTTATTTTTCCAAGACAAGCCAAGCAGGAATGCTGAAGCCCCCCAAAAAGTTATTCTAAGGCATCCTATGGGAGTTCATGAGAGTTTGTGAGGAAAACAGAAGTTTGGTCTAGGAACGGAGCCCAAGTTCACGTTCGATATTTCTGACCCTACATGGAATCGGGCTTGCGAGTGTTATATCTTCTGTATTGCAGAACCCTTGATGAGTTCCTTTCATAATTTGTATGATTTTACTATTGATAAACATAGCAATATGAAAGCTATTTGCAAATATAATGAGACCATGACTGACAGAAACTCGGTTTCTCTGACAGCAAATCTCTGCTTGATTCCTTGTTACCTTATAACACTTGGCTGTGGACAAAAGGAAAAACTAGTCATTTCACATATCGCTCTAAAAAATGATAAAAATTTCCATTACCACAATAGCAACTATTATTGTACAATAGCATTAAGTTTGGCCTACAATTCTAGAATATGCAGAAGAGTCTTTAATAAACATACAATAATCAATATTCCAGGGAAATATTCAATACCTACTAAACTGGCTTACAGACTTATATGTGATGACCATATAGATATATTTCAGGTTTCTTTCATTAACTCTAAGTGTAAATATTACATGTATATACTGTATGTATATATACTGAAAAGACAGACAACAAGCCTAGAGTCTAATCCTCTCAAAAACATTCACTGATTTCAATGTGAATTACTACGTGAATTACTACGTCCCCGTTCATTCAGACTGCTTATCCTGGACAAGGTTGCAGGGCTCTGGAGGTCGGCATAACGAGCAGAGTCCACAAGACAGGGGTGCAGCCTGAATGGGACTGCAGCCAGCTGCAGGGCCCAAACTCTCAGTACTGGGGGGCCAATTAACCTAACTGCAGGAGTAACCAGAGGAAACCCACATGCCACTGGCAGAACATGAAGACTCTAAATACAAAGAGCAGGAACAGCATTCGAGTCCAAGCAGAGGTGCAGGGGACTACAGGACCCTATTTCATAAGGCATATAACAGTCACATAGAATAAATACGCAGTACTTAATATACGAGCATCAAAATTCTTTAGAATAAATACGTAATAACGTAGCAATGTCTTTATATATGCTACTGAATTAAATCATACTCCGGGACTAAAATTAACTTAGAAACCCAACTTGAATAATTAGAAGACTAATAAAATATTCCAAAACCAACATAGATATAAATACCTTATTGAGGTATTTATTGCTGAATCTCATATTAATCACACTAACAAAATAATTCGTACCTGATTCTCGTTAGATTTCATGTCTGGCGTAAATCGCGAAACGCGTCCTGCGAATATACTATAAAATAGCCTAAACATTATTCGTATGATTAAAAACGCGTGAAACAGGTAGCCTACCTTAAACAAATTAGATTCCCCCCCATGCAAATGCTGAACTATCCGAACGAGACCAAGGCTACCTTAAGGTTATTTAAAGTTTAAACATAAATTAATAAACAGCAACGAAAATCTGTATTTAAAACTAGGACAAGCCATCGGAAATTCGACTGCCGTGGTTTACAGCTCCCACGCAAAGCGGCAACGACCGGGGATTTAATGAAAAGGTTTAAGTCATAAAAAAGGACTATCCACCTTTATCAAAATTAATCATGCACTACAGAAATAAACACCGATTTGCACATATAGATCATGCACATATTATTATGTCGGCTGTCTGAGCGGCACGTTAGAACGTACCTATAAGTGGTTTCGGTGTAGTATTCCCCATTATTTCCAGTATATCGTCTTCCCCGATGACATGTGAATTCCAAATGCAAAACCTTGCCCTCGTTCCATTTATTATATCTCGGCGTCTTGCATTGATAGATGTCGCTTCGCGTCCAGCTGATGTCGCGACTCCGTTAGCGCAGAATATTTCCGAACTATAGGGATCGGAGCGCTTATCTCATCCCTGGCCGATCTGCGGCAGCGCTTCACCCTCACTGGTATAGAGCCACCCCCCCGCTGGAGTATCTTCTGGCTCGTTAAAGACACAGCATGCCGTCAGTCTTTTAACGAGCATTACTTCCAGCGCATCACTGACCCGCATTCAGAAATCAAAGATTAACGCGCAAAGTTTTTGTTTTTTTCTTTTAAATCACGCGTGTATGTCAGATTACTGCAAATTCGGTCCTGAAGATTTACAAAAATATAGATATAGGTCACTGCTACCTCAAGAAGTTGCTAACTTTGCTCTAGTTTCAGCTGAAACTAAGCATTTCTACGAAGCAGCATAAGATGACACATATCTGTTTGTCCTCTGGGCATGAGACTGGCGTAGTGACGTTTCAGGAAAGTTACACCACGCCACGGTACTTTCTGTTCAATGTAGTTCCTCTACATCAGCTAGAACTTTGTTCACATGGCTTATCTGCTTTTTTCAGTCCCCTCTAAACAAATGAAAAAGTCTAAATAAAAACACAGGAAGTACGGCTTATTTTGTTTAAAAAAAAAAAAAAAAAAAGAAAGAATCAGACATACTTTTTCAGATTTTTGCCCCTTGGGGAAGATGACTTTACATCCTTGCTTGTGCAGCTATGGATGCTGGTACGACACACAAAATCTCAAACTAGACTTGGCTAAATGATGGGCAGAAAGGGAGGGGTGACTCACTAGTGAACATACCCGGTATACCCCCCATTTACAGGACTGGAGCCGCTGTCCATTGCTTCAGGGAACAGGTATGATTTTAAAAAGTGGCTTGCAGGCTCTGGCTGGAGAGGCCCCAGGCCTGGGGAGGCCATCCGGCTCCCCTGTGCACTGCTTTAGCAGCCTTGACCACTGGGATTCCCCCAAGCTGTTTCCTGCCTTGTGAACTGCACGCGTGCCTGAGGAAACTTGGCGGAATGTGCCGGTCAAGACCACTGCCAGTAACGAGCCGTGTCTCTGGGGTTGATGACCTAAATGCCCAGCGAGATGCTTTGGCAGGCAGACGATGACCTTTCTCGGTCAGCATTCCATTGTCTCTCTCCTGCACGTGTCATTCCTGTGTGGTAAAACACGAGCACATGTCACACTGGATGTTTAAGACTTTGTAGTCACGGTTTATCAATAAGGCCCAACAAGTAAGAGCACGGTGCAGCTTTGCGGGGAACAGAAACGGGTGCACAGAATAGTGCCCCATGAAGGCAGGTAGAAGAAGTTTGTCAAAAGCCAACGACAAGCTGTATGAAAGTAAAATATGAACCCAAGTAGCCTCTGTAAAGCATGAGTCATAAGAGGAGCTGACAGACGCAGTGAAAAAACGGCATCTGGTACTCTGTAATCCTGCAAGAAAATTCCCTAGATAAAAATTAACGCATTGTCAGGCATCGGCAGAAACCTTTCAGTTTTACTTTTATTCTTTATTTGATGCACAGGAAATTATAATAACCACGCGATCCCTACCAAAGAAAAGATAATGACAGCATTCTACCTAAGATTGTCAGGGCTTTTACTGTACAACACTTTCATAGCGGATGGATTCTTAGCTCTTGTGTGAACCAGCAAATGACCATTACAGCTTAGCTTATGATTTTCATTTTTCAGAAACAAAGCAAACAACATCTCAGTATTATCTAGCTGTACAGAACAACGCCCCAGGATGCATGAAGTGGCACACTTGCAATGTTTAATCCTTTCTGATCCTACAACACCTTTATTCTTAATTTCTTTCTATTCTTTTATACTGGAACATTGCAGATGTTATTAAAATCAGCAGAACAAATAAGCTGATCCTCAGTACTTCATACAGAGTGTTCAAAGAGATGTTTGTTCTGTTTGTGTCCTTTAAGAATTCTGCCAAAACTCAACTTTATCCAAATACACTCTTGTTTTCAGTAATTTTATATAGAATCTGTGTTAGAGCTAAACAGAAAGGAAGACAATGTTCTGGGATTTAAAGCTGGAAAAGGTGCTGAGTTTTAATGGATGTACTTAAGTACGGGATTCAATATATTTGGATGTTTATGGATAATTATATATAGTCAAAAGGTTATTAATTCAGAAGAAGCTTTCAAAAACCAGTTTAGTTGTCAGCAAATTAAAAATTTCAAAATTGAAATGGCTTAATATTTAAACATTAAAAACAAGAAATACAAGAACACAACTGAGCTCAATGGATCAGAGTAACTTAAATTCTGTGTGACAATGACTTTAGACAAAGGCGATGATCCCTCCTTGCTTAAGTCAGCAATTTCACAATACAGTTCAACGCGGGTTGCTTGTGTATTCAAGGTTTGACTACAAATGATCAGCATCTACTCTGCTTTTTCATTTGGCCATTGTGTGCTTGGACGACACTGACAGAAAAAAGTACCAATTTGTACCTCTGAGGTTACAGTTACTTGTCACTGGGGCTGAATCCTCAAGGGTCCTACTGATTGTACCCCAGCTGTGCAGCATCATCTCAGCTTCAGAACCTCTGAGAATCATTTCCAGTCTTCATGAAGGATTTGTTCCTCACCTCTTCAAATCACACCTCAGCCATGAACTCCTGACCGCAATCAGTGGCTCGGACAATTAAATTATATTTATAGATTTTTATGCCATTTCCTATGGACACAACTCACTATCGCTTCCCTCAGTACACATTTACACATTCATTTCATTCTACTATTAGTTTACTTTCTTAATTTTTATTGCTTGAGTGTATGTTAAATTGTTGAACGAAATTGCACATATAGAACAATATTGTATATTCTTAAATTTCCAGGAAGCAATTACAGCACAAGGTTGATGCACATGTTGGTTACATTTATGAGTTAATGCTCTTTATTTAACTCATACACGCTGACCATCTGCAGAAAGTGTCATCTAGGTAAGTATATAACTGTACATATACATGTAGGTAACTGAACCATTCTCTACAGGCTGAGGAATGGAGTCATACTGGTTTCCTAGATCTGATAATGCTTATGTTTGGGCTCTGATGTTCTTTGTGAAGCATAGAAAATATTGGCATTTTACGGATCCCTTACAGAAATGACTGTCAGTGGCTTCAAAATCTGATCCCGTCACTCATGTGACATTCATGCACATAAATACACATGATGAATTACCTTAACACAAATATGATGAATTGTCATATATACAAGTCCTGAAAAGCTCTGTGTATATTGTAATGTGTGCTTTGCAAAAACAATTGCCTACACTATAAGATAAATGTTGGACAGCATTCTGCATTTATGTACTTACTTTACACATATAATTGAAAGGGGCTGAACATTTGATGGACCCCAAGCTCAGCATTCTTCTGCTTTCATCCATTATTCAAACAGGAAATGCAATGTTGTACAGATATGTTCAAAAAAGACAAGAAAATCCACATTTTAAATCATTGCCAAAAGTAAGCCCAGTCTGTACATGTTTTGACTCTTTACCGGTGACAGTGTATCATTTCTCTGACACCTACCAGCTGGGTACTATATATTCATTGTAGAAGCACAAACTGGACGTACCATGATGCAGATACAGAAAGTACAAATAAAAGTCAAGGATTTACTGCTAAAAGTAGCCTGATGTCATTAAGCTGTTTCTACAACAGGATAAGGTCATCCTCCAGTCTTAGATTATGCAAATCAATTTAAAAGATTTTCATGGAAATGAGAAAATAACATATCCATATGAATGACCGATCAACGGTGGTCTGCAATCAAGAACGGCAGTGATGTTAACATTTACGCTCACAAAAATGCCAAAAGAAGGCATTAATTTCTCTCTGGCGAGGAGTCCAACCTGCTTGCACTGCCGAGATCCACTGTAAAATCACAAGGCACAATGTGCTGTATGCTAATGTTTCATTAATGGACTGTAGATGGATGGATGGATGCATGGATGCTTGCATGCATTCATGATTGCATGCATGCATGTATAAACACGTCATAAGCATAGCAGACGTGCAACATTAAGAGCATGTAAAATTAGAAAAATAATAGTAATAGAAAACGTTCCATTTTTATTTGTTAGTGGTAGCTCCTCCCCCAGTGATTAATTACAACGAAAACATTCCTTTGTCAACAAGTCAGCTGACATTTTGTATTATATTCATGTCGAACTCAAAAGGGCGTTCGGCTTGCAAGCCAATGCTGTCCCTGGCCTACAAACACAAGAGCAGGAAATCCAGCACGACTGCATTCCTGGCCCATCCCAAGGACCGCCCGGCGGATTATTAATGTGTAAAAGTACAAGTGTGGCAATTGGCTCATTACACAGTCCTGTGCAGCCTTCCCTCCTCATACAGGCTCCAGAAGAGCCGATGTAAATAAAAACGTGCAGATGGCGTTTCCATGGCACCAGGGCATCGAGAATGTGGCACCGCTGAATGCTTTAACTTCTTTTTCATACCGACGTGATCATCTCTGTGAATATATTCTATAAATATTCCACTGCAACATCAAACACAGCCGTGGCCGATTTCCCATATTCACTTGTGAATTTGGTCCTTGGCTGTTTAGACGCTCTCTTTAAACGGAACGCCATACAACAGGTTTTCATTAAGCAGTGTCCCTGGCGCTGTCAGGGGTCTTCATGACCTGTATTCCTCATATGAGTCTTGACAACCGCGTCTGTGACAGGCTGAGCATTAGGGAGTCTTTGGCGGAGTTACGGTCTCTAATCTCACAAGAAGCAGGCAGCATTCTTAAAACAAGACACAAATTGCAGCCTACATGCTTTTGGCCGCAGACATATGAGTTTTCTATACAAAGCAACTCTGGGGGCTGAAGGTACTTTCTCTAGCTGGTCTTATGATGGTCCCATTTTAAATAGCCTGGGGAGAATAAGCTGCAAAAGCATTTACAAGATTTAACAATCACAGGAAAGCTAATAAAGCACTTTATTCTGGCTATATCTTTTATTGAGTTTATCATATGCATCACATGTAATGCTCACAGAAAGATACAACCTAGCTGTTCAATTTCAGGCACTGGCAAAATCATTTCTTAAATTTCTTCATTAAACAGAACTACTGTTTATGTGTCTGCCTCAAAAGAAAAAAATACTAAATAAAATTTTGATTCTAACTGTACAGCTTGCCTAGGGCCATCACTTACATATCTAACCGAACAGAGTCGGGCTCAGCGGGCTAAACCTCAATGCCTGTGATCAGAAGGTCATTGGTTCAAGCCCACCCTTGGCATATCTGTGGCTCTTTGGGGGTTAAGCAAAGCCCTTAACCCCCAGCTCCCTGGACACCATAACAGGTGGCTGCCCTTTGAGGCCAGCTTGCTCCTTCACCTACAGAGAGCAAGTTGGGGGGAGGTGCAAAAA